GGGTCTTAACGGAACCTAACATGCAGGACCAGTCGGGACTAAACGGAACCTAACATGCAGGACCAGTCGGGACTAAACGGAACCTAACATGCAGGACCAGTCGGGTCTAAACGGAACCTAACATGCAGGACCAGTCGGGTCTAAACGGAACCTAACATGCAGGCCCAGTCGGGTATAAATGGAACTAAGCATGCAGGTCCAGTCGTGTCCAAACAGAACCTCACATGCAGGACCAGTCGGGTCTCAATGGAACCTAACATGCAGGACCAGTCAGGTCAAACAGAACCAAACATGCAGCAGTGGGCCTGGAGAAGTCATGTTTGCACTTTAGTTCCTATCATTTTTTTTCCTCTACAGCCCAAGTTGATCCAAAGGTTCCGGCGCTATTGGACCTGAACCGGGCTGCCAGCAGTTTAGCATTTAAACTCTTAACATCCACCTCATTTTGGGTAATCCTCGCCTATTTTGCATGGATAAGAAAATGGAAATGATCGTGTCTTTTTTGAAAAGCAGTAATAAAGACATTCTTGAGAAAAATAAATTGTATTATATTTGTTCTACATCATTTCAACCACAGATGCAGAAACTTTCAGAGCTCTAGCTGTAACAGTTCCAGAGCTGTTAGGATTAGAACTGTTGGTCTCAGCTTGGAGCTGCGCGCAACGGCTCCACCTGCTGGTTAAAATGTTACCGGTGGAATTTTATGCATCTGAATGATTCCCCCACTTAAAGGTTATAATGGGTTAACTGGTTCTGTGAACGAACCAATCTGAGGCATGCAAGCGATGCAGAACCAGAACCGGTCAGAACAGATTGGCTGAAATCACTTAAAAACTAGAAACAAACGGAACTCAATCTGAGCTGGTTCAGAACCAGAGGTCCGAATCACTGGATTCTGGCTCTGTTCGGGTCGGGTCAGACACGGTGAACCCTGGCGGTGTTAAAGTGGGGAGGTTCTATGAGGTGCGACCATGCAGGGTTACTGGAGCTGCACATGCAGGGCTGAGCGACACGAGGATTTACCTGAGGATCAAAGCCCTGAAGATCCATCTAGAAAGAGAGCGAGACACAGGAGACGTTCAGAGCTGCAGCGTTGCCACGGCGGCAGACGATAGCCTCAGGCTGTGTCTGTACGTCCGCCCTAAATCCCTCCATCACTATATAGAGCGGGGACTCTATAGTGAACTCACCGTTCAGAGAGATGATCACTACTTTTCGCGGTGCCTGCGCCATCTTTGTCATTTGTCGCCACAACAAACCCCATCATGCTTTGAGAGGAGAGCTCTCGCAAAGCATTCTATGATACATCTGCTCGCCTACTGACCATGGATGATCACTTCTTTCCAAGGTGCGTTGCTGGAAATTTCAAGTCCCAAACTTTTTCCTCCACTAGACGTTCGAACACTCGTCCAAAATGGCGTAACCACTATAGTGATTAAGGCGGACATCAGACACAGCCTCAGTGAGACCTGAACATACCCAGTTTGCTTCCTCTAATGGTCCTGACCGCCCTACTGTGAGGACACCTACAGCCTGGGAGTGGAACTACAGCTAAGTCCCATCAGATTGATCCATAATAGAAGCCAGACGTCTCCATCATCATCATCAGCGGCAGACATCTTGTCACAGGAATGCTTTCTGCGGTACCCAACGTCGAACAAACATTAATGTGGCTTTAATTCTAGATGCTGAACATAATCCAGCAGTTTGGTCCACCGTCATGGCTACATAAGCTGCCTGTGACAAGATGGCGGCGAATCGACCTCCAGCAGCAGGAAGAAAACATCTAGCCTCTATTATATCTATGGTATCCTCTACCAGCAAGGCTGAATGCAGTTAAATCTTCAGCAGAACACGTCATAAACTAGTCCTTCCTAAATGAAAAATAATTTGTTTTAATAAAGGTTGAAATGTTAAAAATAAAAGCAGGAACTTGTTAAAAACAAATAACCAGGATGTTAAATGCGATGGGTGAGTTTTTCTAAAAGTGATCCGTTATCTCTGCTCCCGGGCTGCAGAATTAATTTAAAAACGAATTAATTTAAAGCTTCCAACCTTTTAGGGTCATTGAACAGCAGTAATCATCGCCTGCCACCAGGTGGCAGCGTTGGAGGCACCTGAACTCTGATTTATTTGTTTTCCTGAACTTCTCAGCTGCTAAATGACCCATTTGTTCTGATCCTGATGGTTAAGCTTCAGAAAACTCCTAAAAATCAGGTACTTTCTAGAGTTGATGGTTCATGAAGGAGCAGGAAGTGTGGGGACTAACCACGGCGTCGATGTCTCTGGGGCTGACGTAGCGCTCCAAGGCCTTGTAGTTGTCAGGAGACAGGGGCATCATGTTGTCCTGCAGTCTGGACGGATGTCTGCAGCAACAACAAGCCTGTTAGTTTCATCCAACATTTAATACAGAGATGATCATTTTGTTGCGTTTGATGTTGAATTCCTCATTACTGCAACTTTGAACACAGCTTAAAAATGGCTGCCAGGGAAGCAGATCGGATCATTTCCAGGGTTAATATTTTATGCCGGAAATATTCTTTATTCTGAATTAAAATCGATTCCGTTTCTCAGAACCAGAACCAAACTGGCTCTGGACCCAGAATGGTCATGAGGTCATGAGGGACGGTGCATCACTATAGAAACCTGGTTGTTTACAGGCCGACCTATCCAAGAGGATCAATGGAAAGTTGAGTGGAAGGAAAACACAAAGGGAAACTAGCTTAAAAGGGACGTACTGTTTTACTAACATTTGTTAGACAATCAATAAATTAACCAGCAACATGTAAAAAGACAAAAGCGTCAGATTTGCTCGTTAAGGTGTGATTAACGAAGTCAGGAAGAATCAGCTGCCTCTGCCAACCAATCGAAGCGCAGAATAGAGCGAGAAGCAAATATGCTTCCCTGATTGGATGTTTACTCTGTGCTGCAGATCTATCATCATAGAGGAGAAAGATGAGAAATTGAGCCAAGAAGCAACAAATCTATGTCCTTTTGATTAATTATACTATAGAGATAAAGCAGTTTTCTAAATACTACAGAATCTAGGTCTATGTTATTTTCTTTCATCTTTTTTTTGGTGAGCGACGGTCATATGCCTCTCCTAAAAACTGTTCATAAAAAAATATTTCATATATATTTCAACAAGAGAGCTAGTCTATAAAACAGACATGGCTATGGCTTGATGCTAACATGTTTGTTAGCTGCCAGAATTCTGAGATTGAAGTCAGAATTCTGACTTTTTTCTCATATTATACTGAAATAAAATATAAAAATAAAAAATCTGGTAATATTTTTTTTTTTCCATTTGCCCTACTCCTGTTCTGTAACCCTCTGATATGTCTGACAGCAAATAAGAACAAATAGCTCTGCTGTCAGCCTGCATCCATGTTCCAGACTCTTATTTTGAAGGAAAGGAAACATTTTTGGACAAAAAAAAAAAAGAATTGTGCTTTTTTGCACCATTTTAGCATCTCTAGAGAATAAAGAACCAAGAACAGAAAAAAAACAAACACGGACGAATGGTAGACACATTATAAAAGCTGCTACTCCAAAATAAAAGAGCCGACATAAAGACGGAACCCAGGATCAGAATGCGGATAAAAACCATGACAGCATCTCAGATAAAACCGTAAAAGTTCTGTTTTTTATTATTGTCTTTTAATCATTTCTTTAAATTTAAACTTAGATGATTCTAAATAGCTGATTTAAAACATAAATTAACTTGACTCGTTTTAACGGTTCTGCCGTTCATCTGCTGTTATTGTAGCAAATAAACAATTTTTCCTTAGAAAAGGGATTTCTTTCTTATTCAAGCAGTTTTTTGTTTAAGGGAAAAAATCTGGTCATATTCAAACTTCTGAAAGTACTTTTCATTTTAATTATTACATCATGTTCAATAAATGATAAAGTGCTTTTAATTCAGAGTAATTTTCATGTGAATGTGCTTCATCCATGTTTGTCAAAGAACACTACTGCCACCTACTGGTTTGTGGCAAATCCTCCCTCTTCAAGGACCAACCCGTTCCGTGGAGGATCAGGAATCAGAAAGGTGGAATAACTAATTTTTTTCCCCTTTACCTGATGTATTCCAACATCCAACTCAATAACTGTTGTTAATTGCAGATGTATTTAGTAGTTCGCATTGATTTTGCTTGTAAAGCGGGGAGACAAAAATGGCCGCTCCCAGACTCAGAAATAGCGACGAAAATTATTATTTTTATTTTTTTTAACGATTAATGCTAAATTCATGAAATCACCACGAACATATTAGTTTTAGTTATAAATAATGACGCATTTGTTATTCCTTGCTGACTGGACTTAATNTAATTCAGAGTAATTTTCATGTGAATGTGCTTTACTGGAGGCATCCATGTTTGTCAAAGAACACTACTGCCACCTACTGGTTTGTGACGTCACGGTGCAGTATCGGCTGTTGATGAAGTCCCAGTGCTGTATCTGGTGTTTGTCACAACGCGCTTCAAAACGTTCTTCTTTCAAATGCTGGCTACATATGACGTGTTTTTTTTTTTTTTTTTTAAACTGCAGTAGTGACTCGTTTTTTCGACAGTAGGCTGACAGTAAAGGGGGAATGACCACAGGTTGGATTCAAACCGCATCGAGGACCACGGCCTCCGTACATGGGTCGTACGCGCTAACCACTGCGCCACCTGCATGTCCCGTATGACGTGTTTTTTCTCTGGCCAGAAGTTCGATGGCAAATCCTACCTCTTCAAGTTGGCGATCCAACGACAAACCCATCCGTGGAGGATCAGGAATCAGAAAGGTGAAATAACTTTTTTTTTTTTTCTCCCCTTTACCCAAGTTGATTGCAGATGTATTTAGTAGGTCGCATTGATTTTGCTTGCAAAGCGGGGAGACAGAAATGGCCGCTCCCAGACTCCGTGATATCGACGAAAATTTATATTTTTTTAATGATTAACGCAAAATTCATTGAATCACTGCAAACATATTAGTTTTAGTTATAAATAATGACGCATTTGTTATTCCTTGCTGACTGGACTTAATGAGAAATAAAACCATTGGTTTAAACTGAGCTGATTGTCTAAAATGATACAAACTAAACTCCCGTCCTCTGCAGTCATTACTCCTCATAAACATGTTGAATTCAGAGGATTATTTTAGAATCTTACACTTCAGAAACAGATATGAGCTCCGTCTTCATGTAGCCGTTGGGCTCCGTGCTCTCCACGTCCATCGGCTCTTGAGCTGAAACAGAAGCAGAGCTCTGGTGAGCGTCTGATCGGGTCGGGCTGTAGCGGGACGAAGCCGTGGCGGGTCTTACTTTCTGAGGGTTTGGGGTAGTACTTCCCAAAGGCCTTGTCTTTGGGGACGTCGGGGTAGAGGAAGCGCAGCGGGTTCTCCGGGATGTTCTCCGCAGCCATCACCTTGTAGGTACGGATGATGTCCGGCAGCGACACGGCCGTCAGCTCCTTCTTAGTGTACGGCTCCACCGAGTGATAAACGGGTTTGTCTGAATCACAGAGACAGAGTTGATTCATCTGAGATAACAGCTCTGCTTCCTGTAGTCCCTTCACAATAAAAGCTTTACCGTGGACGTCGTGCTCGATCCAGGTGAAGGTGATGGCGCCCTCTTTGCTGCTCTCACTGAACCTCAGCAGGAAGGTCCCGGGACACTTGTCGCTCAGCAGGGCCTTCTCCCTCTCCTTGCTGATGAAACCCATGATGCAGCTGCAGAGAGAGCGTGATGAGCCTGAACTGTGGAAACGCAGAACCAGAACCAGAACCGGAGCAGCTCTCACCCGTCGTTCCACAGAGACAGCAGATGTCTCTTGATCAGGTCCAGGATTCCTTCGATCCACAGCCAGAAGGGGAAGGATTTCTCATTGGCGCTCTGCTAAAGTTACCATAGAAACACATTAGCTCCTTCTGGAGCGAGCTCCGCCTGAGGACGAGCCGACGGACGGCCATGGAGGCTCACCTTGCAGAATTTGGTCCAGGGGATCAACCCGTCCGGATTCCGCTGAGCTTTGGCTCCTGTCAACAAAAACAGTCGATTCAAACATTTCCTCCTCTACAGATTCCAACATGGAGGTTTATGTTCCCCTTCTGAGCAGCCAGAGTTAGTTTTCCCTCCTGCTAACCTGATCTAACCTGATCTAACCCCAAAACCTGGATAATCTGGGTGGAAACAAACGAGAAAACACCAATCAGTGCTTTTCTAACCCGGCTGGCAGAAATAACCTAAGATCTACTCTGGGTATCAGGGGAAAACTGGGATTAAAACGAGTTAAAATATAAATAAATAAAAGGAGGAGAGCATAAAAAAAGAGCAAGACTAGAGCAAATAGAAAAAAATTAAAAATAAATAAAATCTGGACCGAATCAGGATCAAATTAGAGCAGAGCCAGATAAATATATCAGGATTAAAATCTGACTAAAACTGGAATAAAAATAAATACATCAGAATAAATGTTTTTTTTTTCACTGAACAGAAACTTGGATTAAAAAAAAGATAGAAAAAGGGGAAAAATTAAAAAGACATGTAGAGAAAATAAGAATAGAGATAAAAATGGATCCTAACAGAACACAACCATTAGGAAATTAGGATTAAATCAGATTAAATTATTACAACAGGGAAATAGAATGAAGCTGGACAGAATTAGGACAAAGAAAACAGAACAAAAC